AGGCAACAGGTGTGAGGCAACAGGCAACGCCGTGCAGCCCAGGATGTTTTTCATATCACATAATTCCAAAATACTAAATATAGCTTTCAGCACTCCAAAATGTTGTTTTATAATCGTTGTACTGTTAGAGTATAATATCTGATGCAAACATTAAGAACGTGTATCAGCAGTTAAAGGTAGATCCAAGGGACAGATCCATGAGGCCAATCGTTCCGGTTCTATACAATTCTGTGTTTACAACGAGCACATGGCTGTACTGTGTCAACACGCCACTGTCACTGCGCCAGTAGGAATGTGCATTTTGCAAAAACGGGCAAACATACTGTAGCAGGGAGGAAGCTAACAATGAAGGCGGTCACTTCTTCAGGTAAGAGACTTGGCCAAATTCATATCCTGGATCTGCATCTGAGACAAACTATTAAAGCCAGGGTTAAAGTCAGTGTGAACACGCTAGCAGAGCAGAGAAATAAAACTAGTGGACATTAATGACGTAATCTTTTAATGAATAAACGTAATACATTTTATAATGTATATTCTTTTCGAGTGGCACCAGGTTGAGTTGGGGTGGCAAGCCACCACTCCAAATGATTGGGCTGGAAACACTCTGGCTGCAGCCATGATTGTTCAACTCTTTTCTCAACCACAACATGTCAAACCTTCCCTTGTTGGTCAACGCAGGATTTGAAGTTCACTTCTTACTTGACTGCACTTCGTAGTCGCAGTAATGGAAACAGGTTTCTACATCCAAGCTGCTAAACTGTCGGTCACATATGATCTATTTAGTAACAAGAACAGGACTTCTACTTTCAGAAGCATGAAATAAATCCCACCAATGTACAGCTCTGCGTGTGTGTAGGATGATTACAATAGAGAAAGGTCTCGATATTAAGAAGAGTACAGTGTGAGAAATATTGAGGAATGTAAAATAAATGCAAACCGCACTTCTATTCAATCCTAAGTGAACCCATGTGCCGTCAGTAGAAATGTATAAAAGGACCATGTCTTCATCTTTCCATCTCTTGAGGACTTTTGTCTCGTCAAGTACACACACTCATTCACTATTGAGGCTCTTGCTTTTTTTCATAAAAGCACTTTCCCAGAAATTCCAGCAGTGCCCCAGTAAGACGATGCACACACACACACACACACACATCCATTGTGCAGCAGAGGCCGGGCTAGCAGAGCGATTATGAGAGAGGGTTAATTGTTTTCTGCCTGACACATAATGTGGCAGTCTGTTTCCTTCTGGCTGAATGGGTCAGGCAGACACGTCACACTCGGCACTCTGGGGTCAGCGGGATGCTGATAAAAAAAGGATGAGTCAGTGCTGCTGAGACGCACGCTCATCGTTGGATGGCGCACGGCGGTTTTAAGGGGTGAAAAGTGAAGAAGATAAGAAAGAATGTGAAGTAGAGTGAAGAACAGGAAAGAACCACGTATTCAAAGTAAATAGAAAGAGATAAGTGCCAAACAGCTGTTAGTGGGCAACCAGCCATGGAGAGGGAGTCAGACTAACATGCTGTCCGGTTATAAACGCCGCGCAGGCTGACTTCAGTCTTTAGAAAATCATTTACTGTACAACAAACTTCATGTATTCATGTGGATTCCTGAAAATCTCTAAAAAAATTCAGGCAAATCTTCCTAAGTTGCTTGTTCACACATGCACCTCGCAGTGGGAGGCTATCTGTCACACAAGAGGAGTGGATGTCAGGACGCAGCACGTGACATACAACCTGCAACCTGCTTGCTCGCGATGAGTTTGTCCTGAATTCACACATCCTCTCACCCTGGCTTCACGCAAAAGATTTGCTTTGGGGCTGGCAGGAAAACTTTGGGGGTAAAAAAAATTCTATTTGCATTCATACATGCAGCCTACCTCAAAACATGTCAAGACTTTTTCAGGAGTTCTGTGCGAGTGAAAACAGCTAAAAGGTTCAAAAATGTGGATTCAAAAATACCTGATTTCACAGCAGAATGAACATGTTTACAGCCTGGTTGGGAGAACGAGAAAGGTTTGATTAGCTCACGTCTCGATCAGCACACAGTAAGGGGGGGGGGTGAATTATTTTTGATAACTCATCTGTTAGATTTTATGAAGGATAAGTGTTTTTTACAATAAGGCACACGTAGCTGACCTGACTGACAGGCATGTGTGATGTAAGTCAAGAGGCTTTCAGTAAAACCCGCCTCAGCTCTCAGCACGTCCATAGGATGACTGAAAGTTAGGATGAGGCAGCCATCCATGGGACTCCAGAGTCCCTTGCAGTATCAGATGGCTGACGTCACTCAGGCTTCGTCCAATAATATTTACAGACTCTGGGTGGAACTGAAGCAATAAAACTGAAAACTAACAAATTTCACCAACAAGATAAATCCAGTCTCTGAGACTCCAATTAGCTGAATACAGACTAACTCCTAAGCCTTCTACTGTTTCCTTTTAAGGAAGTTTCACTCCTATTGGCCCGCACCCATCTTCACTTTAGGAATCTTTAGCCATGGACGTCATTTTCTCACGTCATAAAATGTCCATAAATCATGCTGCATGGGATTTTGTAAAAAAATAAAAAATAAAAAAAAAGATTTCTGCATGTAGAAAATATAGTGAGATGGTAATGGAGGTTCCCTGTGGTAATGTTGTGCTGTTGTTGTACTTTCTCCAACAAAGCTCACTTCACTTTGTGGATACTTGAGTTGTATGATGCTGAGGGTGTAGATGTGTTCATCTGATCAGTGTGGACAGCTAATGTTGGACAAAAGTCAGTCAAAGTCCAAAAACTATAATTATTTTCCTTACAAGATTAAGGTCTTTATCTCCACTCCGAGTGTCCTCTAACACGGTTTGTCCTACATAATGGACCACTTTAGAGGTAAACTGACAACAAGGCAAATCAGGCTCAAGGGCATAGCTACCTGAGATCGACAAGTTACTATGACAGCAATCTGTCAGCCAGAAAAGACATAACAATCAAGCAGGATCCTACAAGGTTAATAATTACACCAATGTGGAAATTCAAAACCCCGAGCTGAGTGTCCACCTGAGGCTGGCTGCAAAAGTCCTGGATCAGATATGCTGCACACTGCAATGCAGCCGACTGTCACCTAAATCTGATGTATTTATTCTGACAGTGTGAACAGCACAGGTCACATGAAATCTGATCTTTTCAAATGAGATTTGGCCCATTTTCATATGACAATTCCCACAGGAGTCTGAGACAGGACACATTTTAAAAAAGCAATGTGAACATCCAAACAAACAAATCTGAATCGAGCATCAAGGCTTTCAATGTGAAGGACACCATTCTGCAATGTTTAAATCCCCACTTTGACAGCAGAGATAAACATGTGTACAGCCTTGTTCAAAAAATTAACACATTTGGTCTGTAAAGCTCATAACTTTACAAGCACACACTATACGGGTCGAGTTTTTTTATGCAACTCATCCGTTTTGATTTTATGAAGCCGAAGGGCTAAATTGGTGATACGGAGCAGGATGTTTTCTTTTAATGTGATAATTCTAACAATATGCCATCGAATAAACACCTTGACAGCAAAAAGTTATGAAATATGTGGCCTCTGGAAATCGTCTTTATATCCCACCCAGTATAGAGAACTCATAGAAACTCCAGTATGAAGAGAAACTCTGGTAAGACTTAAGCCTAATTATGTGAAAACGCTGTGTACTTCAGCTCAGACTGAAACTCAATCTCTATTTGTAGCCTTCATCTGATGTGCTCTTCAACATGTGATCTGAATTAACACATCACACTTATGACTGGGTTCACTATCGCCAACCAGCTTTGTTGCTGTTTTATGAGGATGCGTCAGAGTATAACAGAGAAACATGGTGTTAGGTGTCGATTACATGTGAGCTTTAACAGCTGATGATTTAAACAACCTCCATGGTGTTGATTGGAAAGAGATGGGAAACATAGGGTGGTGTACGACTGCATGCATCGAAATGTTCTCTTCATAAACAGACCATATAACCTGTGTTTCTAAACTTCCCTTTTCTTGTCTGCTTCCTCAAAAAGCCAAATTCCCCCCGCAGCTCATTTCATTTCTGGAGGTATTATGTATTAGTGTTTGTTAGCTCTTTAAAGAAAATGGCCAAAATCAGACTGAGAATGTGTCTTGTGATGAGTGTGAATCTGCTCCCAAAGCGTGTTGACGTTCTGAAGCGTAACATCATCGTGCCCACGATAAATCACAACTTACTTGGATCAAAACAAAAAACTTTAAAACCTGTGCTTTTTTTTTTTTACACAGCAGCCTATCGGCCAAGTTTTAATCTTCAAATAGGCTCCTTTAGATTTGTCAAATGTTGATCTGATGCTGTCTCGCATCCTCTCCTGCAGAAATGAGACTTGTCCTGGACGGTATAGTTGTTCTCCAAAAGGCCTACTAAATGTTAAAATGAAAGTCCTGTGGGCGCTGAATGGGAATTTAAATTAAGCCGAATTCCCCATGGAGTCCTCTTACATCAAAGAAGACCTGAACCACTTTTTTTAAATGTTATTTTTGCATCAATATTAGCGCAAAGGTTAAATCGGATGATTTTTAAATGCGGCTCTCTTCACATTTGACGGAGTCCCTTATGGAATCTGACCAACTAGTTGATGCAACACTTTTGACAGGTGGGCAGGTGCTTTGTGCCAAATGTTGTAAACTTTGGATGAGTGCATCACACAGTTTGGCATCGCTACAAAACCCAAAAGTCACTTTTTACTTTCAACTTTACACCAAAATAATCGGGTTTGTGTTAGCGCAGCTTTTCTATGGGCCCCGACTTAGCTCGTGTTATTTGGTCGCACCCTTGCAGAGAAAGTATTTAACAACCGTGATTTACGTATAAGGTCACTTGGTGAGTACTTAATGAAGTGTCCTACCTCAATCAAATGTATCAAAAATGTGACGCTACATTGCAAAGATAATATTAAAGTGCTACAAAGAAGCGAAGCAGCGCACATAGAGGCAGATCAGGGACTCGTAGGGCTACTCACATCTTCCATGATAAAGGACCAAAATCCGTTATGTGAGTGTTGTGCAGCCTGAAATCACTCGACGTCGCCCTTATTCTCCTCTCCAGAAACCTTTTACTTCTCCCTCGTTGGTCGGCAGCTCACACATTTCCAACAGCAAAACGTAAAAGCAGAAAAAAAGGAACCGTGTTGTTTTATGACACTGTGAGCTCGTCTCTTTTCCTCTTTTGCCTCAGAGCAAAAAAAAAAAAAAAAAAAAAGTTCGAAGAAAAAAGTTTGGTTTCCGGTTGAAGCCTCTTTTACACTTCTTGAATTGAAGAGACTATCGAGGAGGAGCAACGCGAGCAGCAGCGTCTTGTGTGTGCATCATCTGCAGGGCAATCCCGAGACTAGACCTCAGGCGAGCTCAAAGTTTGGAGGAAACGTTTAGCAGATGTGCTTTGCATGAATCCTCCTGAGAGAGGATCTGATCTGTTAGCGGCTGCAGCATCCAGAGATTCACACAGAGCTGATTCCTCTCATCAGAAACTTTCTCTGCACAAAGCACATGTCGACAAACTCCCGAAGATTATAAAATACTTAGGTGTAACATATTGTGTGGCTAGATGCTTTTTACTCTTATTCAATAGGACTCAATGATGAACATTAGTGGAGTGTCATGCAGTCAACACTTCCTGGTAGGTGTGGCTGCTGCTCTGCTAGTTTGTCAGTAAGTGGATGTTAAAAACGAGAGTAAAGAACATAAAAAGTAATTTGCACAGCGAAACAACCTTTTATTTTTTTTGACAAGGACATTTTTTTCACTGCTGGTTATAAACCATTAACTTGTGCTTATGGTCATTTATAATGCATTAACTGAAACGTAATGGTCATCTTGTAAGCACTTCTTGTACTTATTCCTTATATTTAATGCAATTCATTTATTAATGTTGGTAATCCACATAATAGGCATTATAAATGGGATATTGTATTTAACATAGTTTGGTCCAGAAGGTCAAAATAGTCAAAAAGTAAAATGTGCCATGAATGAACAAAATAAGTGATGAAACTCTGCAACATCCTACAATTCACTTAGCAGACGCTTTTATCCAAAGCGACGTACATCAGAGAGTAAGAACAACACAAGCAAGGATCTAGAAAAAAGGGAACAATGTCAGTAAGAGCAAACGATCAGCTTTGAGTCTGATTGGACACACAGGTGCTGACAGGAAGTGACCAGAGGCAAAGCACAACATTGAGGGCAGTTCTTGAGAGCTCTAATCAGTATAGAAACCATCTTATAAGTCGTCGTTATCAAACAAAAACCATCGTCACTACCATCATCATCATCAATAATATGGAGACCATCATCATTAAGTTAGTAGGTATTCATGAAAGAGCTGGGTCTTTAGCTTTTTCTTAAAGGTGCAGAGGGACTCTGCAGATCACATGGAGTTTGGAAGTTCATTCCACCACCGGGGGGCGACAGAGGAGAAGAGTCTAGTCAGCGTCTTAGGACCCTGTTGTGAATGTTGGATCAGACGTCTTTCATTGGCAGAGCCTAGTAGGCGGGGGGGAGTGTAGACCAGGATGAGAGAGTTAAAGTAAGGAGGAGACGTTTCTGTGTCTGTTTTGTAAGCGAGCAGCAGAGTTTTAAATTTGATGCGAGCAGTAACTGGGATCCAGAGTAAGGAGATGAACAGCGGAGTGACATGTGCTCGTTTAGGAAGGCTGAGAGTAGCATGTCCAGTTCCACAACAAAATCATTCAGATTACACCCTGGTGGGCTGTAAATGATAGCAATGTACATTTTAATAGGAGCAGTAACCAAGATTGTGTGATATTCAAATGAGGAGTTGTTGCTCAGTGGGAAGAGTTTATTGAATTTCCAGGTATTAGAAATGAGGATACCTGTACCACCTCCACGTCCAACAGAGCGGGGGGGTGTGTGAGAACACTGTGTCAACAGAAAGAGCAGCAGGTGTGACTGTGTTTTCTGGGCGGATCCAGGTTTCAGTAAGGGAAAGTGCCTGCCTCTGTGGAAACGCTGAAGTGCCTGACGCTTCAGATTCACACTCTTTTAAACTTGGATTTTCGTGAAAATCCCGCCTCAGATTTTCAGCTTGCGATCAACAGAGGGTGTGACACGCGTCAACCGCCTCTCCTGTTGATGCTCAGAGAATGAAACTCAAGTGCTCAGTCCAAACAAAGCCTGACAACGACACACTATCAATATCTACTCAAAGCAGGTTTCGATTCATCCACCTAGCTGACAACACCTTCCTAGTTTTCAGATCAGAGCTTGTTGCAGAACATGTAAGCTGATGTAAAAACCTGAAATAAAGATTTTGAATGACGTGGCAGCCCCAAACTGTTCTTATCAATGGACTGTCACATGGTACAGGGACTGGACTTATGCTTATGTATTTATTTGATTTGTTTGACAGGGACAGTGTGCAGCCACTGTACCAGAGTATGAGGTCATTTCCATCAGTAGTCGATAGGCAGGAGTCACAAACAATGTCTCTGTTAAGAAATAGAAAATATAAAGGCCTACTTAAAACAGCTAATGCCTGTATTTGAATAACAAAATCAAACAACCTCAACTTTCCGGTTGAGAGAAGACTCCAGATAATTATTTTAAATGTCTGAATATATGTCAGATGAATTGATTTACTGCACGTTGCAGAAACAGCTTTTTCATCTTTCATTTTTTTTACAATAATTTGATTGCAGGAAAAAAGCAGGATGAGCCTTTGGTTAAAAAAAAAACTATTTACACATGTTCAGGACAAAATCAGCAAGATATAAGAGGTACTGCTTTGGTGATGGCCTTGGGAGCAATTTGAGGTTTAACATGTGACTTTAGGAGCTGGGGATAGTTGAGCCAATCAGAAATCAGGATTTAAAGCGATGTGATTCATCTCAGGGACAAAGCATCTTATTGTATCAGGGATGATTAAAACGGTAGCTGGGAAGTGCAAAACAAAATTCCAAAGTGTGAAACACAAAATGTAAATTTGCCTCGAGCTTTGTGAAAGCGTTTCAGACTTTGTAATTTTGTTTTGCACTTCCCAGCCTCTGTATGAATATAAAAGTATGCTTTATCTTTAATTATATCCTGGGACTGATGTTTGATTTGGGTCTCATGTATGTAGAGGGCATTACGTGTGTGTTCAATTAGGTTGTTAAAGAAATGTATATGTGACAGTTGTTTATTTGTTCGCTAATGTTAACTACAACCCACTCTGACGTCATTCTGTATTTTACTGCATTGCTCATAAACTGCTGAAATGCAACCACACCCCTGACTCTGCCTCATAACATATACATTAAAAATGTTTCTTTTTAGAACAGCAGTGAAAGTAATCACTCAATCGTGTTGTTGTTAATGTGTTCTGGTTCACTTTTATTTAAGAAATTAGCCACGTCACATTTCAGGTGTCAGACATCAACCAAAGCAGAAACAACAGTCGTGTTATGATCAGCAGCTGCAGAAGTGAAGAGGCGTGCACTTTGCACTTGAACTGCACATTTGCACACCTCCACTTTTCACTTTAATATCTTGGTAGGACTTTCCACTTTGGTATGAGCTCTTGACTGATTTATTGCGATTGTTTTTATTTTGTTGTCGTCTGATTTTTTAACTTTGATATTGTTGTCTTTGTGTTTTATGTCTTCTGTGTGCTCCTGCTGCAAAACAAATTTCTCCTTGGGGGACAATAAAGAATCTGAATCTGAGGCTGCAGGAGGACAGAGCTCCATGTTAGAGTTCCCGTGTTCTGGCAGGTTTGATCAATTGAACACTATAATGAAGACAATAGCCTTCATTGTTGTTCCTTCCAAACAATGGAACAATGATTTTTTTGAAAACGCTGCGCCTTGCACCATTACAAATCCCAGAGCTGTGATAATAAATGACTGTTGTCTCACCAGTCACGTCCTCTAAAGCATCAGGTTTGTTCATGGTTATGGCTTGGGATGCTTTCAGAAAACTTTTCTTTTTCTTTTTTGACGTGTCATAATGTCCCGCTTCCAACAAATTTGAGCATAAAAAAAATGTCAGCAAACTGTCTGTGAAACCCAATTCAGTCAAAGCTGCCACAATAATGAACGAAGAAAAGACACTGCATCTATCAACTGAACCACAGCCGCCCACCTGCGATTTATTTCCAAGTAATTTTAAGCAAGATGCATTAGGAAACATTATATTCTTCCTATTTCAAAAATTAAATCATTGGGAATATTCACTTTTTTTATCAATACACTATAAAAAATATTAAGTTGAACTCAAAAGTCTTGATGATCTATTTAGATGTGGGTGACCTTTATTGTAAGGTATATCCTTTTGACTCATATTCTTTATATTGAATCATGTTGACGAGTTAGAAAACCTTTCATGAGATTAGATGAACATAAAACAGAAAACATCAAGTTATCACAACATTTACTAATTTAAACTAACTTTTAGTTGAATTGAAAATCACAAGTTGCCAGGACAAATTGTTTTTGTTTTTTTTAGTTTAATGTATTACAGAAAAAATGTTAAATAAGACTTTCAGGTGACTCCATCCTTCTGCAGTCTGTTTGCAGATTTTCATTCCTATTTGTGAAACTACAAAGTTATCTCATACTGTGTATACTGTACCTCTGATTATAAACTACATATGAGAACTGTTATAAACTACATTTCCCAGTGAAATGTGGAATGATTTGACTCCAACATGAGGTAAAATTATGATAATTAAAAAGTGACAGCACATTTCAAATCTTTCCGTTCCCAATTTTTATTTCAAGAAAATAGATTTTTCTTTCAGCACACAGCTCTTCTGCTTTCTCTTCTTTGTGCCTCCACGTCTCCACTCTCCTCCTGCCTGTGTCCTCTAAATCTTTCTCAGCACGCCACCTTTAGGGATGTCTTGATTCCATCAGCAGGAGAGAGGCAGGAGGCTTGGATGCACAAGTATGTGAAAGTCTTTTCCATACTTGTGACAGACAGCAGAGGCGTGACAGACGGGTCATTTATACGATCATAAAAACTCAGCAGCAAGGTTTAACAACACAATCCCATCGCTCTAATAAAATACAAAGAGGACGCCTCTCAATCAGAGACGCTTCACTTTGCATGACTGTTGCCTGAACTCCTCTCTTGTTCCTCCTCTAGTTGAATCTCAGGTAAAAAAAAAGGACGAATAACTTAAAAAAGAGAGAAAGAGAAAGTCCATTGAGTTCCCAAGTCTTCCAGTGTTAGCCTTGATTTAACCACTAGATGGAGCCAAGATGTTGAATTCCAAAACAATGTACAGAGGTTTTAAAGTACGTGCAGACAGAATGAATGATTCAATCGAGTATCAGAATTCACATCATCGATGTTTTTCTGT